TCATTTATCAGACGGTACTAGAATCCAGCTGTGTGAGCAATACAGAGACTGAGTTCTAGAATTTTGTGTCCATTTCACATGCAAATGTTAACATTAATTCAAATTTCCCAAGTAGATTCTATTTTTCATCATGAAATGCAGGCTCTTTTATAAGTGTAAGAAACAAGTGATTAAGTCTGCAGAAAATGTACATTTTTTAGTGATTTAAAATTTCCAAAGAAATAACTAATCTGTTAATGTTTGATTTTAGTTTTCACAAATAGCTAAGACAGGTCTTGGGTTTTTAAGCCATTTGACCTTCTTTTATATAAAACCACTAAATTATAAAGTTGTGTTGATTTAATAGTTGTGATACTTTTCTGAATGGAAACAATATACATATCTTTTATTCTAGAAAAGAAAAACTATAGAAGGTGTCTTTATTATCATGGCAGTCACTAGAGAACAACGTATCAAAGGTCTCATCCTAGTCCATAAAGATGTGTAATTTTCCCTGTGGGGAGACAACCATCAAAAACATGGAAGGTTCTTCCCCAGAAACTGATCATGAATAATTTAAAATTCTTCCCAATGCCACCTCTTCACATCCTTAAAAAGGGATTATCATGAAGTTTGGGGAAACATTATGAGAGTCACAGAATAGTTTGGGTAGCCAATTACACAGCTGTCATGCATGAAAATCCACGCTCCCCGTCACAGAACCGTAGACTGTTAGAGCTGGGAGGACCGGACCTGCCCTCTGAGAGGACAAAGGGTTAAGCCTCAGTCTCCGCCTCAGAGTCCAGGGATTTCCAGGATGCCTCTGAACCCTTAGAAGTCCAAGTGCAGCCATGGCTGCCACATTTGTTGCTGCTGCTCCTAGTGCTTATTAGTGGCCCTACTTGAAATTCACAAGGGGATTTCATGTACCATGGGGGATGTACCACGGCTCCTTTACTAATAGGTTTAAATGCTGGGGAAGGGGGGCAGGAGAAGACAGGAGGAGATACTCCCTGCTAATTCTGTTCCCCTTCTCTGAGATAGGACAGGTGTCCGTACATGCACACCGCAGCCTGGCCACCAGCTGGGGATCCCGAATGCTGTCCAGGCTGGCATCTGAATTTTAATTTACTGATTTATGTACCTTCACTCCTTATTCGGTGCTATCTACTGTGATCATCTCAAAGAAGTACCAAAAAAAAAATGACCATCAGCTCTCCAAGGGAAGAAATAAAAGCAAGCAATTTTTATTTCTACGACGTCCACCCCGAGCCAGGAGCCGGCGCCAAACTTCAGCGTGTGTCCATGTGATCACCTTGATGAAGTATGTGCTTACAATCTAATCAAGAGGGTCAGACACTTCCACACTCAAACTCAAACAGAGCTACAGTCAGGGGCTGGGAAAAGCTGCAGAAGGAAACCAGACTCCCACCAGGGAACATTCACACTGGCTGGAAGAGCAGGAGGCTGTGGGCAGCATCTCCACTGAACGTCTTCGGGGACGCAGACCGGAAGTGGAAAGGCATTCCAAAGGGGGCTGGAGAAGTGGGGAGATTCAGATAATGTTCAAGGAGGTGTGAGTGCCCCACCAATGTTGCTGGAGAAGGTCCAAGGGGAAGTCACAGTGACTATTGATGAAAACGCATATTGAGGCTAGACCGTGGGCCCTCGGCCGTGCACCGGTGACACTGAACTTCATTCTGTTGGCATTGGGGGAGCTGTCATTGGACCCGTCTCAACTCCATGTCAAACTCCAGCTTCAATGTCCAGCGAAAGCCCTAGCCTCGGTCATTCCAGGGCATGGGGCAGCCCGGCTTCCCAGCAATTGCTTCAGACACAGCAGTTTTGATTTGGGGCTTGAACAAACTGCTCACTCAGGCATTAAGCCATGGGAGAAAACATCATTTCTTTCTGAGGAATGAATGCCTGGCTATGCTACTAGCGGGCTGTGCTGCCTCCAACAGATACTCAAATTTCCGGAGTTCATTTTAATCCTAGTTTTACAGTCCACCTTGAGATGTCAATGCAGTTCAAGAAACGGTATGTGAGTTGGCTGGCTGCAGAGAATTTGGGAGCGCCCGCCTGCCAAACCACCTCCAGTTACGCAGGAGCCACGCTCCCAGATTCCCAGCTGGAACTCGTCCGCAGGAACTTGCTTCCTTCCCGTGGGACCCATCTGTTTCAGGAAGGGCAGAGGGCGACCGGTGTTCCGTTCACAGCCACCCCTGACCACCCAGAATCAGGGATGCAGACAGCAGAGTGCAGGCCCTCCCTGTGCACCCTCCTAACCCATGGGCTGACGACTTGTTTATGGGACACACAGTGTACCCGCAGAGTGTACCCTCTCCATAGGTGGTTACTCGTGATTGCTGAACAGTCCAAGGAAACAGAGAAGAAAAGCTGCGTAGTATAAATATGAAAAAAAACAAGCTTGGGCAGGTCAAAGTGTCCACCTGTGTTCACAAAGTTATGGCTAAAGCGAATGTCTGAACCTGTGTGTAATCGTCGCCTCACTGAGCCTGGGCAAACGCTGGGTGGAAGCCAGACACCTGAGTGTGCTTCCTGCTTCTTCCCCATATTAGCAAGTCACTTAGAACTCCTGGGAACTCTGTTCCGTGTATTGACAGGTGGAAATAATAGTTGCAGTGGCTTCACAAGCTGTTGCAGGACTGGGGCAGGGTTCCTGAACCTTGGCTCTATTGGCAGTCAGGGACAGGTAAGTCTTGGGCGTGGGGACAGCACAAAAAAAAAAGTCTCTAGACAACACCAAATGTCCCTGCAAAAGCAACTCTCAGCCTCATTTAAACTGGAGGACCACCCCAAGCTGGCTTTATCTGAGCAACTGTTCCACTTTGTTGTGTGGTTCCATTCCCCGCTTTCTGCCACAGAGCTGATCAATCTGTATTTCTTGGGTCTCAGACTCAAAGAGTCTTCACATTAAGATACACTGATTTCTTTTCTGTTTCATTTATACAATTTTATTATGTTTATATGAACAACCTAACACTAAAGCTGGGCTTTTTTCCCCTGAATAATTTGTGTATTTACATGGAAAAGGCTAAAGCGTTTCTTAGTTGCTAGTTTTTAGGGTCCATACTTTTAGAAAAATGAGAGTAATTGACATGAAATATGATATTAGACTCAGGTATACAATGCAATGATTTGATATTTGTATATATTGCAAAATGATCACCACAGCAAGTCTAGTTAACAGCCATCACCACACATAGCTGCCAATATTTTCCTTGTGAGGAGAACTTCTAACATCTCCTTCTTTAGCAACTTTCAAAATGCAGAATGCAGTGCTAATAATTAGTCACCATGCTGAACATCATAGCTCCAGGGCTTAATTTAATAACTGGAGGTTTGTGCCTTTCATTTTTAAATTATATCGCGAAGTACCAACTTCCAATTATAAACATAGGAGGATGGAAGGTACAGCATAGGGAATAAAGTCAATAATATTGTAACATCTATAGGGTACCAGAGGGGCACGAGACCTACCTGGGTGATCACTTCGTACGTTATATAAATGTCTACCCACTATGCTACACACCTGAAACTAAGACAATATTGTATGTCACCTGTAATTGAAAAATAAAAAATAAAAAACATAAAGTGGCTTACAAAACTCAAGATAAATTCTGATCACTAAAAATTTTTGAAGTACTGAAAAAGGAACAAAGCAGCTTAAAAGAAAGGGACCTGCCTTGCGCTCAGGAAGGTAGCCACTTACAGAAAGGAGCCGGACCAAGGAGCCACACCCACGTTGCACACCTACTGTGTAAAGACAAACAGGAGGAGCTGTGGGAGAAACGTATGGTCCCTTCTCTCAGGAAGTTAACATTTCGCGTCCCACAGACTGATCGTTACCAAATTGTGCTTTTAGAACGTCACGCCCAATCCCACGGGATTGATTTGGACATGTTTCAACACAATCATTCTCTGGCTTAAAAACTGTCCAAAGCTCCTGAAACGTAATTCTTTCCTGTAAATTTGTGGGAGGGTTTTTTTTTAATCAAAATAACGGATCTAATTCTCCAGCACCAATGAGTTAGTGGGCTGCCAGTCACATTTATAAAGGAGAGTTTCATAAACGTTCAAGAGATCCAAAATACAGGAACTAAGAGTGTTCTTGTGTATTAAAAAACAGTCTAGTGCATTCGTCTAAAGCACCACTCTGGATGGCCTTGAGCAAGCCCCTCAGTGGCTCGGTGTCACCGTGTTCTGCGCCGAAAAGAAGCCACTACGATGCGATGATGAGAGGGCTGTTGTGTTGTGAGGAGTAAGTGAGCACATAGGACAGTACCTGGCACGTAAAAACTACGTGAGACATGCAGCTATTGCTTTGGTTATGGATCATTATTCCACAGGATTTCAGTAGGTATTATCCAAAGAAGAGTTTTGTGGTCCAATGTCTGGGAACACTAGTTAAAACAAAGTTGAACAGGCTTTAAAAAAATGCACCGTGGCACTTCTCAGAGCCTTTAAAATGCTGGTATGCAACCTGAGTATCAAGATGGCGACCCAGTGTGTCTCATTTAGCACTCGGACCCTTTCTGCATCTGGCGATTCACAAAACTGGTGTACGAAGCACTGGGAGAATCACTGCTTCCCAGACTGTCTGCTAAGCCTGACACATGGTCTAATATAATTGGGGCTGATCATCAGAATGTATAGAACTTTGATTTTAAAAGATGTAAACATTGTCTACTACCAGAACACGCTAAAGATCTGGGACTACTTAATGTCAAATATTCCCAATGGCTCCAAATTCAGTAAGCTGTCCGTGTTGATTTTTTTTTAATTTTATTGTGATAAGAACACTTAATATGAAATTAACCTTCTTAACAAATGCTTAAGGGGACAGTACATTACTACCAACTATAGGCAGAATCTGGTGCAGGAGATCTCTAAGGCTTACTCCTCTGGCTCAACTGAAAGTTCATGCCCTTTAATTAGTAACTCCCCATCCTCTCCCCGACCCGTCCTCACATCCATGTGGTGTTTAGATCACTTACCCGAGACCCTTTTTCAGGAAAGCACTGGCAAACAGAGCAATCTCTTCCTGCACAAGGACCAGTGAACTTCTTTCCGTTCTGGAAAGCAAAGCATCGGACTCAGTATATGGGAATCCATCCCTCAGCCGGGTATGTGATACATACATCATACCCCACACCCTTGGTTTGCCTAACTCACGAGAATTCCACAGCGTACTTTACCTTTGCATCCATGAGAGGAAGAGACTACTCTTGATATATAAGAAGGCGAAGAATTTACTTTGTGTCTTGATAATAAAGAGGGTTGATGGTTTCATGAGCATGTTGATTTTTTTTTAAATCCTGGGCTTATGTAATTTATTCTTGTTCACACACACTTTTACTGTGTGTGAACGAGAATAAATTACATAAGCCAGGATTTAAAAGGCTCTCTCTGAAGCCACCATGAACTCACCAGAACCTTCTGCATTTCTCTCTCCTGGTAAGATTTGTTTGCTAAATTGAACAATCTTAGACTGTAAACTATGTAGTTAGGAAAACTGTAAGTGCAAATGGTGTCTAACTTAAATGATAAGTTTGGATTTTTTTCCAGGACCCTCTTGCATTACTTGAAGGGGCATGCCTCCCTCAGTGGGTCCCTCTTATGTCAATGCTATGGGAACAACCTTGCACGTGGGGTTAAAATTGTTCTTCTTCCAATTTGCTGATACTCCAAGATGGTTCCTCTATTGTGTCTCTCAACCAGGAAGCTCCTGAACTTAAATAACTTGGACCCTTTTCCCACTTTTAGCTAACTTTTCTTCTACACGCTCTTTAAAGAGTCACTCTACACTCATGTATTTTCTTTAACGCTTCCTCCAAACACACACACACACACACACACACACACACACACGGGGGAAAAATCAGTCCCTTGTTTTCACAAATCCTCATTATCTATATCCAGACCATCAGTCACTTCCATACAAAAGTACAGTAACAGAGTGACTGTTTCATAGGTAGATTCCTTAATGACAAAGAGCCTCCATGATGCAGTGAAACGAGCTCTGAGAACTCAGTCCCAGGCTGGGGCTGGGGTTCAGGACACAGTGGGGCTAAAAGCAGCTGTAGGTGCTAGGCGCTCAGGGCGGTCACAGAAAGGTCAGGAAGGCATGACCTTGCCTGGTCCAGCCCTCGCTGCAGCAGGCATGCGTGAGCCAGGCGTGCGTGAGCCACACACACCTGTAACTGATCATTCTTCTTAAACTCAGGGCTGTAAACTTAAGCCTTTAGACCAGTGATTTGCAGCCTTTTTCATCACATGGCACACTTAATCACTAAAATTCTGCAGCGCACCAAAAAATTATTATACGTTTTGCCAATCTGACAAATAAAATAGGTATAATTTTGATTTGTTCACACCAGACAGCTGTTGTTGTGTTGGCTGTTGTCGTTTTTTTTTTTGTTTTTGTGCTTGACAAACAAAGGGAAAAGAGGTCAAGGGCCACTGACTAAATAGTCAGGTACTGCATGTTTTAAAATTTTTTGCAACAACCAGTGTGCCCCTTGCGGTACATCAGTGTGCCATGGCACATAGGTTGAAAATCGCTGCTTTAGTCCAATGTATAAGGCAGAAACATAAAACAGTCAAAATTACATTTCTGATGGAAGCTATATATGGGTATATATTCATACCTATGCAGGTACATAGGTATGGGTGTGAATATACATGAATATATATGTATATATGAATACATACACATATAGAATATATATATGTATCTGGGCTAGGGAAAGGAGCCTATCCAACATCTTCTTTTCCTTTTCAATCACATAATTTAGACTCCTTTTTTTTTTCCAGGAAAAAATATGTTCAGAAACAATCCAAAAGAAAATACCTCCACATTAAACATTAATAAGAAGACATATTTATAAACAAAACTCCTAATGTGTCATTGAAAGTATGTAAGAATTTAAACCTTGACAAGAGCCAAGCAATTACTGGTAGATGATTTAAGTTTAAAAAATGTAGTTGAAGTTTCGGAAGTATAGGCCTCTTGAGCTTTGAGTAACCTTGTTATCTATGATGTAGGCACATTAAGCTCAAAAACCTGATTAGGTTTAAACAAATAATTAAATAAATGCCCCGGGCCAGGTCAGGACAGCATGAAAACACTTAAAATAACTGGTCTGAACACTTGGGTTCATTTAAGGTTGGGTTCATTATTATGTGTTCGGTGAAATATCAAAATAACCAGGGGAAAAAGGTCAGTTGATTAGGTGGCTTGATAATAAAGACAAGTTTGTTATTTTATTGTTTTGTTTTGTTTTTTACTTAATTGTGCCAAACATCACTGAGATGTTTGTAGCAAAATTACATTTCAGAGAAAAATCAGTTTAAAGTAGATCATCAGAGTCTAATAAAGAGACAGAAATAGTTGCATATAAAACTTTGACCTGGACCAATAAAAGAAAAAAGCAAGAGGTGATTTTCGTCTCCACAAAGCTGCTCTACAGTAGATATAATCACAATAACCATCATTTTAAAAGGAGGAGGCTTTTATAGAGGAAGAAGCTGCACCTCAAAAACTAATTGCCGAAACCCATTACAAGAAGGTGAAGACTACATCTCAGACAAGTCACCATTCACAGCCTAACACCCTGGCACGGGGGCACACCAACCGACCGTCTCTAAAACCAGCATTACTTTTCTTCAAAGGGAAAAAAGGAAACATCACTGTTTTATCATAGATACTTTTAAATAAGTATTTATTGCATAGAAAGCTCCAAAAATAAGTTATTACATCTGTACCTCTATTTTCTTTTTTGAAAAATAAATAACATATGCACATGATAAAAAAGTCAAAGAGTGCAAGAGAGTACAATGGGAAAAGACATTTTCTCTTCCATCTTGGCCTCCCAGTCCTTCACCTAGAAGTAACCAATCTCTTCAAGTTGGTGTCTGGGTATTTATGAGCACATTCACATAAACATTGTGTGCACATTCACAGAGATACACACACTTATTTGGTGATGTTGGTCTTGTTTTATTTTTCTCAAGATGGTATATTTCCCTGTATTTTGCTCTTTTCACTTAATCGGATGACTTCAAAATCATGCCAAAATTATACATTTAATTATCCATCAGACAAAGTACTATAACTTGTATAATTAGTCCTTACTGACAGACAGTTAGCTATCTCCCTCCTTGACCAGTATCCTGCAACTAGTACTCTTGTGCATTCATCTTCATGCACACATCAGTATAGATATGTATGATAAATTCCAAAAAGAGAGAGTCCTGTGTCAACAGGTATGTGAACTTAAAATCCTGAAAGATAAATTGCCTGCCATAGATACGGCAGCAATTTATGTGTCTACTTTTAAAAGCCAATTATAGCATAGCCACTCTCTGTGTGAACTCTTGAATCTGCACACACAGGCCGATAAGAGAATCTGGGCCAAGACGATCTCTAGTTCAGGAACCAAATTCACTCACATGGAACAAAGGAAAGAAAGGCAATAAAATTTAGGACTCTGTAAACTTTCATAATAAAAAAAAGAATAATATAAAAATAGAAGTATCAAGTAAGAGAAAAAGAAAACACCCACACAGGGATATTTCTGTGTGCTTCCATTTATTATTTCAGGTGATGTTCTCGAAGGCATGTGAGTTAAGCTCAATGAGTCTTACCATTATTACCTCAGTCAGGAGAAAACTGAGTCTTGGATAAATTGAGATTAATTATTGTCAGAGCCAAGAACCAAGGCATCTTATTTCTGGACACATATGCCCTCTACTCCTGACTGGTAAGGAGAGGAGAACAGAAACTTTCTATTGGATTTGCTCTGAAAAGACCTATGAGAGCTAGCATCATAGAAATTGAATTGGGCGGATCCAAGCTAGAGAAGATGGACAGATAGAAATGTGTTCACTGGAATGATTTAAACCAGCCCAGTTATCTCAAGATTAACCTGAGCTACAGGAAGCCCATAGAATTTCCCAGAAACATCTGAGGTTAGGTTTTAAAAACTTCGCTTCTCAGATGTTATTACAGAATGTTCTAGGCTTATCTTTCTCCAAAGTTAATCTTATGCTTCTTGATTTAATCTTGAAGGGGACCAACTCTTTCCTGGCGCTCTCCAAAAATCTTCTTAAGAAGGATTATATTATAAAATAAAGAAGTCTTCAATACCATTTAGAGGCAGTTTGGTAAACAGTCTTGACTGTAAAATATAAAAGAAACCTTAGAGCTCACCTAGTTTAACCCTTCATTTTACAGATGAGAAAACTGAATCTCAGAGAGTAGCCTGTTTAAAAGTATAACAAAAATAGTGCACTCAATGAAGTGCATTTTCAACATGCAGTCAGAGCTAATTATTGTACTTACCCCATATGCATGTTGCACAGAGAAGACAATAAGCATAAGAGACCTACAAAAAAAGCAAAAACTGCAGATGAATTTAAAATGTTCATTTTCATGCAAACCAAACTAAAAAGAAAAAGAATAAAGGAATTAATCCTAGAAAGCTTTTCGTTATGTCTAATAGGCTGCTGTCACCAGCTCATTATCATCGGTGACAAGATAAATGTTGTCCTCTCTCTGGTTGCCTTCATTACCTTTCCCCTTATCGATCAGTCAGGAAGTGCTCACATCTTTTAGGGAGGTCCTCGTTGTGCTAGGTACCATTGGAACACTGAAGGGGAGACCTGGGTGGATAGAGGAGTGACGGAAGATGACCCTCGGAATGAAAACTGGAGAGGAAAGGAGGCAGCTTTGCTCAGGGACAGTGGAGCCTTGAGCAAGAAATGCCTAAGTAAAGCCAGCTGGAAGGAGGGAGGAGGAATGGGAGGTGGTTTGGAAGGAATGGAAATAAATGGACTTGTTAGGAAAGAGTTAGGTAGTTCATGGTCTTATAATTGAGGCAGAAATCCAATGGAAGTAATATTATTGTTGTAAACACACTTTAACAGAGAGACATGAACCAAAAGAGACCCCTATGTGGACTGAATGCCCCTCGCATGCATATGTTGAAACCTTAACCCCAGTATGATAGCATTATGAGATGTGGCCTTTGAGAGGTACTTAGGCCAAGAGAGTGGAGTCCTCATGAATGGGATTCGTGCCCTTATAAAAGAGCCCCCAGAGGGCTTTCCCACCTTCTTCCCACAGTGGGGAGATACAATGATAAGTCAGCAGTCTGCCATCCGGAAGAGGACTCTCCCCAGAACCAACCACGCTGATACCCTGATCTCAGATTTCCAGCCTCCAGACCTGTGAAAAATCCACATGGTCTGTGTGGTGTTTGTCACAGCAGCCAGAACTAAGAAGACCACTAAACATTCACATACACTTGCTTCAGTCTTACATTTGCCCAAGAACTTCTGTATCCACCCTTGAAATAGCTGTGATGGAGCTGGGGATTCCACTTACCTCTTCCCCAAGGCGGGAAGGACAAGGGCCCCAGCCGGGGCTGTGGGTTCTCTGCCAGCCTTGTCCTTTCTTCTGCATAGAGTCATTTCCTATCTGAAACCTGGGGTCTGAAGGAGACTTCCTACTCCACCCTCTACTCCTTCCTCCTGTGCGGGAGGGGGTGGGGGGGAGATATGCTGGTGAATGCTACCCTGTGCCCAGAGCCATGCCCCTGGGTGGAGCCCTGGCTGGCCAATGGGAGACTGGGGGCGGGCCTATCCCACACTCCCTGGCCTCCACACTGAAGTCCCCCTTCTCTCAACTCTCATATGTAAATTGATGACAATTCCCAAAAAGGCCAGGTTGGAATTTCAGTGAAGCAAGTAAATGAATTAAGAGAATAAAAAAGTGAAAGACGTGTCAAACACTGTAATAAACTGTTTTGAATCAAGTTAAAGTATTTACAATGGTTGTTTGCTAAGTGAGTCCTTACTGCTTTGGGCATTTGTGAATAAGGACAGGTCATATCTCCTTGCAGTCTGGGCCTCCATACGTTGACTAACTAAAACTGGAGCCAGGGCACATTTTTTCCCACATTTTACCCGATGCCAGCAGGCTCAGCAATGTTGAATCGCATGCTCCGAAGGCCACAGGCGGAGTGGCACCAAGGGGGAAGGGGTGGCCTGGGTCAAGCCTGGATCGCAGTACTCGTTCGCCCTACCCTCTCCTGCTTCCTCCTGCAACTGCGTGGTTTAAAATAATGGTTTCTTTAAAGAACCATTCAAAATTAAGATTACTTTCCAGTTGCCTCCACACCCTCTCCTTTAAACACTTCTGATAAATATAGTCTCCTCTCCACCACCCTCTCCTCCTTCATTGCCCGTAATACGTGTTCATCAGTTTCAAAACTCCCCGTTTTTCACTATGTAACATTTCTCTGCCTTAATGCCCAATGTCCTTTTGAGTCACTTATAACAACACCTTGGCTTCCCACTGCTGCTGTAACCCATTGCCACAAACTCAGGGGCTCAAGGCGACACACACGTACTATCTCATGGTTCTGGAGGTCAGGAGTGCAGAATGGGTCTCGCTGGCGAACACCAGGGGGTTGGCAGGGCTGTGTTCCTTCTGGAGGTGCCAGGGGAGACTCGGCTTCCCTGCCTTGCCCCGGTTCTAGAGGCTGCCCGCGTTCCCTGGCGCCTGTGCCCACCCCCTTAAAAGCCAGCAGCAGGGGCAGGCCAAGTCTTTCTCTTGCTGTTTCTCTCCGGCCTCCTCCTCCACCTTCACATCCCTCTGACTCTCACTGTCCTGCCTCCTTCTTTTACTTCTAAGGATGTTTGTGTTTCTACCGGGGCCACTGTGATAACCCAGGATAACCTCCTCGAGGAAAGGTTAGCTGATTAGCATTCTTAATTCCATGCACAACCACACGGCTCCCTGGCCGTGAAAAAGAACGAATTCAGAGGGATTAGGATGTGGACCTGTGTCCACCTTCTACTCCCGTCAAGTGCATTGTCCTAACTCTGCTGGTTACAGGGACTCTGTTGCTCTGGACACGTAGGAAGGTTCTTGCTATGCACACATAGTGTGTAAGAGCAAGAATCTGCAGCCTTTAAATGAGCATCTTCCCAGTAGGTAAGATTATGTGGTAACTGATCAGGGGAAGTAGCAAGGATCCATGTTAAACAGGAAAAATGAGTTGCAGAATGGCAGGCAAAATCCATAGGTTTCTGGAACACGTTGGCTTTTTGACACACGAAGCCTTAATATAATTCATACCAACAAAACCGACATTGAGGAGACATTACTGAATGAAAGTACTGAGGACACTCACCAGGGGTTTGTGGCCAAGGGCTTGATACACCTGAAAGGGCGCCTCACTAACTCCATGCGCAGGGCTTCCTGCACAGCCAGCCTGGGCCTTCAAAACCACCTGTCAGGCGTCTCTTCTCCTCCCGACAGGCCCCGTCATCGGTGAGGTTCTAGGTCCGGGGTTTAAAGTCTGCCCATGGCAAATATAAACATATCTCTTAAAACAGAGTACAGATTACAATGTAATGACTGTCATTGTTCATAGTTAGCGATGAAAATATTTTCTGAGAGAAAACTTCATTGTGTTGTTTTGGGGTTTTTGTTTTTTTTTTGATATAACCTTTCCTTCGTGGTGGTTAAATGGAATAAATATCCATTTTTATTCTTAGAAATAAAAATATTCTCAAATTCTTTATATGTCAAACATATTTTTGAGAGGTAAAAAGATGTATCTATATATGCATATATACATAAAATGCTTGCATAAAAATGAGTGCTTCATTTCTCTCAGGGAGATTTGCTTCTATTTAATCTTTTACCCTGAAAATCCAAATTAAAATTCACTCAAGTGGTTTGGTTTTTTTTTTACTTTTTGAAACTAGAAAAGGAATGCTTTGTTTAAAAGTACGTATTTTGCACACATGCACCAAATACGTATAAAATATTTTACATAAAATGATACAACTATTGTGGAAACATTTTGGTAGCTCCTCAAAAAGTCAAACATAGAGTTACCATCTGACCCAGCAATTCCGCTGCTAGGTATATAACTGAAAGAACTGACAATGCATGTTCACACTCAAACTTGTACATGAGTATTCATAGCGGCGCTGTTCGTAACAGTGTGACTCGATAAGCAAAATGTGCTCTGTCCTTACAGAGCATTTGGCTATAAAATGAAATGAAGACTGATTGGTGCTATAACATGGATGAACATTGAAAACATTATGCTAAGTGAAAGAAGTCACGTACTGAATGATTCCATGTATGGAAAATACCCAAAATAGGCAACTCCATTGAGACAGAAAGTAGATTAGTAATTACGAGAGGTTTGCAGAGGGGATAGATAATTGTGAGGTTTGGGTTTCACTTGGGGTGATAGAAATGTTCCTGAATTAGTGGCAATTGTTGCACAACATTATGAATATACTAAAAAACCACTGACTAATACACTTTAAAAGAGTCAAAATGGTGGATTTTATTTTGTGAACTTTATCCCAATAAAAAAAGAAAAACTGTTTTGGCTCAAAGAACTCAATACTTTGATAAAAGATCTTTTTGGCTCACAGAATTGAAATGTCTCATCTTAAAAACTTTGGTTTCTCTGAACAGCAGTACCTATGAGGAAACTGTGAGTGTTGAATATTATAAGTGATTTCTAACTTTCTGGATCAAAATCTGAATAAACTAACTCAATGCTGTGTGTAGGGGAGACTCGTTTTCTATGTAAGTGGTAGAACACCATTCCACGATACTGTTTCAAAATCAATAGAAACAGAATTATTTTGGGTACCAAATCTTAAATCCATCACTTTAAATAAACACTTTTTTAGTTGCATTCCAGAAGCCAGTCTCAATAGAAACAAATTATTGTTTTGGAAAGAATACACAAATTGGTTTGAATCATTTAAAATGTACTTGATATTTTAAACAAATAGGAAACGAAATAAAAAATTAAAGAAAACCAGAGCTATTTGCATTTTGAACTCAAAATAGATACACGATGCAATTATTCTCTGTGGATAGCTGTGATGAAGGGCGCACAAAGGGGAATTTTATTAGAATAGAGTGTTACTATGGCCGCCTTTCGGAGTAAGATTGCCAATTAGGGTCCTAACACCCAGGAGTTTCTTAGTGTTCACCGAATTGCTGATGGCTGGATGGCTGGACCAGCCTGCAGAGACCTAGGTGGTCTCCCCATGAGTCAGAGGGATGCCCAGTGCGAACGGACATTGACTAACGATGAGCCGACACAGCTACATGGGGAGTGTCCAATGCATTCGCATCACCACGCACTTATCGTATGAGCTCTGTGGCCATAAGAATTTCATCTTCTTTTATTCACAGATTCATCCCCAGTGCCATATCAATCCCTGCATATAATTAAGTGCTCGATTTGTATTTGTTGGGTGAACAAACTTATGGAACATACTTTGGGACCTTCAGAATGTGAATCAAATATGATGTTTAACAGGGAAGGCAAAATGCGGCCAACTTTGAATTAATGTGAGGGAGTGGAGGGGGGGGGACGGAGAGGAACCATAACAGCTTGGGGAGAAGTGAAGACAAAATGATATTTATTGAAATTATACGTGGGACTCTTTGCTAAGCGTTGCTCACATGAAATCGCTTAGTTCTCACCACAATTTAGTAAGAAAAGTATTGTTTTCCATTGTACAGGAAAGGCCAGCTAGATTGGTGTAAGTAATCTGTGCAGAGTAACAGAGTTAATAAATGGCAGAACTGACTCCATATGTATCTCTTCTCCCACCTGACACCCAGCATGGCAGCCTTCACATGTTTCTGGTCTCGTACTCCCATAAACATTTCGAAAAACCTCTGCACGCCATCTCTTCTTCTTCTTCTTCTTTTGTTTTTTACTGGAACTAATGAGTGAATTTATTTATTTATTTACATTCTGAAATTATTTTTTTATTCTTATTTTATTTATTTTCAGTTTTTAGGGGTTTTTTAATTGTTCAAATACATTTGTCTCCAGTTTCCATGACCACTGTCCCCTGCCCCACCTACCTCCACCTCCCACCCTCAATCCTTCCCCACTTTGGCTTTGTCCATGGGTCCTTTACACACGTTCCGTGATTGGGCCCTTCCCCTTCTTTTCCCATTCCTCCCCTCCCTCCTTTCTTCTCCTTACTGTTGGTTTCTTTTTTCTTTCAATGTTCCTGATTATATTTTCCTTGCTTGTTTGTTTTGTTGATTAGGTTCCACTTATAGGTGAGATCATATGGTATTTGTCTGTCACGCCCTGGCTTATTTCACTTAGCATAATGCTCTCCAGTTCCAGTTCCATCCATGCTGTGGGGAAGGGTAGGAGCTCTTTGTTTCTTTCTGCTGCATAGTATTCCATTGTGTAAATGTACCACAGTTTTTTGATCCACTCATTTATTGATGGACACTTAGGTTGCTCCCAGCACTTGGTTATTGTAAATTGTGCTGCTATGAACATTGGGGCTCATAGGTTCTTCTGAATTGGTGTTTTGAGATTCTTAGGGTATAAAAGGGTTCCCTTTTCTCCACAGCCTCGCCAGCACCTGTTGTTTGCTGATTTGTTCACCTCTTCTTCTTTTTTAAGTTAATGTCTAAAAACTTTCGTCTTCTCCTTAAATGGTTCCAGGAATGTAATTCGGGACCTTGTAAATGGTGAGCTGTGACAACTGCTGCAGCACTCAGGTGCGGCCAGCAGATCGCGACGCCACGGCCACCGGTCTTCAGTGCCATCAGTTTAAACTATCTGCACACGAGTTCATCAACAGTTAGGAATTTCACAGTATTTTCCCCCTTGAGTTCATATTTCTATTCTCCTTCCCACATACATCTTTGTGCAATATAATTTTACATTTGAAAATCATATTGATCACCTTACTTCTCTCAACAAAAATATGTATATAAATTGAATAGTTTTTATATCCTGTAATCACAAACCTCTAAGTCTTAAAAAAAATAAACAAAAAACATTTTTCTCCTGGATTGATTTATCATGATGATGATTAGTAGTATGTAATTCATCAAAAACATAAAGTAATTTAAATTTTGATACAAAATTGCAAATTTTTAAAACTTGAAAGGGAAATTTTATTGGAATTGTAGTGGGCAATAAATGAATGGGGCTTCTTTGTTTCTCCATTCAGCCCTACCTTAGTAACACTTTTTATTGGAATGAGACAGGTTCAGCAACAATCCTACTTCCATTTTAATTTTTAAAGCTGTACATTTGAATAAAACTTATTCACAAAAATAGGAAGTTGTGAATGAAAGTCATTTGTTACACAGTGTCATCAAATGGTTATACCAGAAGCAGCACAGATTTTTATCACCCAGAATCATGCAGAGTGATCTTTCTGCCGATAAGTCTTCCTTCGGCTGTGATGACAGCAAACGATGGAAACCACCTGGTCCAGGGGATGTGGAGCCCAGGAGGCAGGACGCTTTCCATTCGCAACACTTGCACTCAACACAGCCCATCATGTGGCCCCACAAACAGTTCTCATACTCCGAGCAGCGCAGGGTAGTAACGCTGGGGCTGGAGGAGGGCAAGGGAAAAGGCAGGGGTATGTCTTTCTTTTAAAAAGCAGAGGAAGGACAAGTGTAAAAGCAGATCTGAGAATCTGGACCAAAGGTCCATTTTCAGATAGAACGACTCTGAGAGAGAATATATATAGCAGTTGAGAATCTAGAAACTGATGGCTTTATTTAATTTTCCAAGCTGCTTGCATAACTTTTAAGAACTTTTTGTCCCACAAAAGTCCATGTGTGTGTGAGTTTGAAGATCTCTGCCTTGAATGAGCTGCCAAAGTTAAAAAAGAAAAGAAAAAAACACCTCCCCTTGTCCACCAATTCACCGGGTGCTAGCCTCAGAAAACTATGTGCTTATCCCACAGGTCTGTCTGGCCCAAAACAAGCCAGGAAGGAGTCGCGCAGGGTTTGTAACTGTTCTCGTGCCTAAGACGCAGCAGTCGCCCTATCACCGCATCCGCGGATACGGTGAACTTCACTGAGCAGTGCGTTCTGTACTTCACAAAACGCTGTCCCGCGTGTCATCCACAATAATCAGGATTTTCTTTGTTCCAATGACTCTTGTTAAGAGCATAAAAACCTTTTCCTCAACCAAGCTTTGACTGCACCACACAAAAATAACCTACCCCTTGGAACAACATCCCTTAAACTGTAGTCTCACAAATAAATGGCCGTCACCCCATGAGATTGGCTGAGGCAGTGTGATCCCAGTGGAGTCTATCATTACTGCCAAAGAATGTCCCTAAACACCCTGACTGGTATGGTGCAGTTGGTGGGGCGTTGGCTCGCAAAGCAAAGGGCCTCAAATCAAAGGGGCACCACTTCGCTTCCTGGCCAGGGCGCGAGCCTGGATTGTGGGTTCCACCCCCAGTCATGCGCATAGGTGAGGAGCCAGTCCCCACGGGTGTTTCTCTCACATGT